GATTTCGGCGCAGAGTGCTGCTTCGGAGATCTTCCCGTGAGCTCGAAGTATGGCGCGAGTGGAGCGCCAATGAGGACCAAGTCCGCCGATGACGACTGTGACGAAGGCGTCTTCCGATATCGACCCTCCGCATCAAAGAAGTTTATCGCGCAATTCGCGACAGCGACTGATATACGCCATCCCCTTTTCGCCTGGTTTCATTTCCACTGTTGTCAGTTGTGCCATTAACCGACTCTGGTTAACGCTGTCTGTTGCCTGATACAGATTCTTCAGGTGGTTGTACGCGAGCTCGGCGGAGTTGCCGTATCCTCGATAAGACCGCATATTTTGCTGTTGAGTTGGCGTGACGTTGCGCAGTAAAATCGTGTACGCCATCATCGACTGATAGGTGTACTGCTGTTTGTCGTATTGTGTCCCGTATGTTGGGTATGGCAGGGACCCGTCGAAGAAGCCAAGTATCTGCGCGCCTTCCATCATTAGCTCGAATTCGAATGACCAGGTAAAGAAGTCTTTTCCGTCAAACGGTCTTGATGTCTGTAGTTTCAGGACGTGCACGAACTGCGACTGAACTTGAAGTGCGTCCAATGTTTTCTCTTGCTCAGGTGAAGTCTGCTGGCACGGCATGAAGCTGACTGAACCACGCTGAGGTTCATACGGGGCGAAGGTAGGTTGCTGCTGGTTTCCGCGCGCATAGGATTGTCAGAATGTTGTATTTGTCTAGCCTGCAGTGGGGTACTCCATAGCGAGTACAGCCCAATCTAGGGTTTCCTATATGTACTCAACTGCTTGCTAGTGCAACCTCTCTTTCTTGTTCTAAACTTTCTCCTCGTTCTTCTAACAAGGATGAGCCATCAAGACTCATGGGTGTGACGTCATTGTTGTTGTTGCTGATGTTTGACTGCGCAGGTGCCAACTGTTGGTGTTGCTCGTAGAAGGACATGAAGGAGAAAAACTTCTCCATCATGTTCTGATCGAAGCCTGCAGATTGATTCGCAGGCATCTCAGTAGAAGTTGCTCTTGGTCTTGTTGCTGTGCCCTCCTCTGTCTGTAGGCCAGAGGCAGGAGGTGGAGTAGGAGTAGTACCAGGAGAGCCGTTAGAGGAGCTTCTCTTCTTCTGAGTTGCTATGCCTTCTGATGTTGTAGGTGTCTTGATAGTAGTTGAGTTTGCCCTGATTGCTCTCATACCATGTTGGGCTGAGAAAAAGGCCCTTAGGATCTTTGCAGGGCTAAACTCTGAGTAGGACTTGTTATGATAGCAGAAGCTTAATGAGAAGTGTTTGAACCACCTTGCGCTAGTATGTGAGGGCAAAGTAGATTGATTAAAGCAAAGAGATACAAGATTATATAAGAGTACAAGGAATACGAAGAGATACGGTTCCAACTGTTTTACTGTTGCTGTTGCGGTTCGATACAGTGACGACTAGGGCAACTGCTCTGTAACGAGTCAGTTGTGTGTCCTTGCTGTCGCGCTATATTTGTCAGGTCAAAGGTCGCTGACCTTTGACTTTCGCGTAACCTCCAGCAACTGCTCAACCTCCGAGGGTTGACTCACCAGTGCTTCGATATGCTTTGTTTCGCTTCTGACTCAGTGTTTCGACACGACAGAGGCGCTTAGAGTTAATTGTTTCCAACACTATATAGCAACTTCCTTCGTGCATCGGTCATTTTAGTGTCGGGTGTGTCACCACCTTGACGAATGCATTCCACTATGTGTTCCAACAACCCCAAATCTGCTTGGTGCATGATGTCGGGCATGACACAAAGGTATGGGTTGAGGAGTGGTTCAGATTCCCACCGCCATCCCCATAGGCAACACTCGACGAGATGCATTGACAAGTCATCGTGTTGCGTAGCATCATACGCACCACTCTTTGTCATTCGGTACAATCATCGATAGACACGTGGTGTCCTACCGACCATGCCACGCTTAAAATGAGCTAATTCATCCCGTTTTGTGAGGCAAATTGAGCATGGTCGAGCTGTGCTTCCCAACTTTGTGCACGTGACCTTGCACGATTCAGGATATAGTCACACACATACGCATAAAGAGCAGGCCATGCGTTCAAGGTTTCACCATTGGAACCCTTGATCTTAATACCCGTGTGAGACGCAGGCTTGAGTGGGGCTAGCACTTGGTTAAGCACATGTTGGAACACAACAAGCTTATCCAAGGATTCCGGGAGAAGAGCGAGTAGCACGTGCCCATGCTTCTTCCACCTCTCTTCCCTTCGAATATTGGCCAGCGTCATGTACCGTATAAGGGGTGGCCTTTCGCCTTACCCCGCTGGTACATGTGTGTCTCATCCGACGCTAGTATAAGAGCAGCGACAAAGCTATCCACCATCTCTTTGCGAATGTTTTCTTGCATTTTTAACCACCAATTTCTCGTTTCTGGATTGGAGTAAACATGCTTCACCCCAGGGATGCGAGTTGTCGCTTCCTTGACAATCTTACCCTCAAGCTTAGGATGTGTGAGAAGCTCTTTCAGCGCTAGAAGGCCATCACAATAGTGATATTCGAGCCATGACTTTGTCCCAACACGCACCCAGGCCTTCTTCCAGCCCCTCGACGTGTCAGGAACCCTCAACTCAGCATACTTCTCAACATCACGAATGTCAGACAAACGTGTGCTTGCATGACAAAGGATTGCCAACAAGGTAGCAATCTGGCTTTGTGACAGATTCTCCATCAACAACCAGTGTGCAAGGGCATCCATGAAGTTGAATGGACGTTCCTCGACATCATCAGACCCGGGAATCCCAAGGCCTTCCATCTCAGCAGGTGCTGTCCCCCCAGATGTACCCTCCCCCCCCCCCCCCCCCCCCCCCAAAAAAAAAACATCCGGCATGTTTATAGCAACAGGTACATCACAAGGCATGCAGTTCTCATCATCATCACTATCTGAGCTACTGCCATTGTCACTATCTACATCCGAAACAAAGTCTGGTGACACCATGCTATCCTGCAAAGTTTCAGCAGCATCACACACAACAGGAGGGTCATCTAACTCCACGGGCGTAAGGTTGAATGATGGGATGTGCGCCACTGGCGCCCGGTGTTGTCACGGTAGAAGGTACGGATTGCTACCACTCGATGCAACCGCAGGCAGTTCACGGCCCTGCACGCCTGGCTTCGCTGGTGTGAAGCAAGAGCCTGTGCCGTGTCAAAATATGCCTGTGCTGGGCATTTGCTATACGTGTATGCCATCTGCAAACAAGACAGCAAACCACGTGCGATGGATAATGGAACAGAGGCAGAGAGGAAGAGGCAGTGAGAGGATAGGAGGGAGGGGGAGGAGAAGAGGG